GCCAGAGTAGGAGGGGACAGAGCGAGGAAAGCTAGACTATGAGCGATGGCCGAGGTATGACAAGCTATGAATGCTAATCGCGCGAAGATTAATAGCCCTAATTCGTGCCAGGAGAAGAGACTGTAGCTGCCAGCCGCTGCCGGAGGTGCCAATGGTACTAGGTGTGTACGAGACATGCAGTACGGTTGGAGTGAGGTTGCGCACGGAGAGCACTGCTGGTGGCTGTCACTACTGGTGCTGCTGGCACTACCGGCACTACGGTGGGCGGCTGTTAGGTTCTGTGGGCGGTTGGGAGGGGTTGTGGGCGGCTGGAAGTTGCTGCGGGCGGCTAAAAGGTGCTGTGGGCGGCTGGGAGGGGCTGGGAGTTGCTGTGGGCGGCTGAAAGTTGCTGTGGGAGGGGCTGTGAGCAGCTGGAAGTTGCTGTGGGCGCCTGGGAGGGGCTGGCGGCGAGCGTAGCTGCTGGCGGCAGGCTGGCTAGCGGCTACCGTAGTTGTTGGCAGCAGGCTGGCTGGCTCTGCTTGCCTGTGGCTGGCTGTGGCTAGCTCTGCTGCTACTGCTGGCGGCTAGTTTAGCTACTTGCGGTTGGCAGCAGTGGTAGTAGAGAGTGCGCTTGCTGCTCATAGGTCGCGGCAGTGGCGCATGCAGGCGCTGCAGGTGCGGGCGTTTGCTGCGCGCCCGGATTTTGCTGTACGCACGGTGGTGATGCGCGCGGCTGTAGCTGCGCAAGTGACTGCAACCTGTGCGGTTGCTACTGCCGCGCGCGTGCGTGGTCTCGGCCTAACGGCGGGGCGCGCTCTGCCTACGGTGGGCCTTGTTCTGCGTGGCCTACAGTGGGGCGCGCCCTGCTACTAAGGTCGCGCCCTAGGGAAACAGGTCTGGGTGGGATCACGCGACCTAGGGAAACGGGACGGTGGGAGTCGCCACGGCGGGCTGAGGACGGCTCAATAGTTGGAGGGAGTAAGGAGGGAGGGAGAAGCTCTAGGACTAGGATGCAAGTTAGGCCTATGAAGTTTCCTAGCGTGATACCATCTCAGAGTATAGCGAAATGATGCATTAGGTCAAAGGGGAGGGGGTACAAGGAGAGTGTCGAGTGAAATTATGTACCCCCTAGGATGCAACTCACTAGAGGCTAAATAACTATATAACATAACTTTGACACTTTCTACCTAGGATCTACTCCTCGTGCGACTCGGGCTCCTGGCAGTTGTTGCAAAATAAGCCATCAGCGATGATGTCATCATCGACGTCCACTTCCGCTTTCAACTGGCTCCGCCTGTGCGCCATGGGTTGCCCGTCCTCACTGTCGTCAAGCGTGTTGCTGATGCCATAGTTGAGGAAGGGTTTAGGGTCCATTGATAAAAAAACTCGCATATGGTCCGTTGATATCTTGCCTGCTACTGTGAGTCGCTCTTGGCCCTCTTCTTCAAACCACTTCTGGTACTGCTAGTGGACAGAGACCTTGAACGACTTGTTGATTGAGATGGCAAGGGGCTGAACCTCCACCGTACAGCCCGCCAGGATCACCGCCGACACAATGTGGAGCTCGGCGAATTTCGCCTTCACCCCCTCAGTGAGGTGACCGTGGTAGGAATCGAGAACCACCATCGAGCTCCTCGCCTGCCTGCCGAACCGAGGCCTTAGGAAAGGCTTGATGAACTCCTCAAGCCATCGAATGACAGCCTCGGCGTCCACGGTGGTGGTGGCGGGCATCTCCAGCCACAACGGCGTCTGGACCGCGTTGATCATCCACATTGTCTCGATGTCACACTCACGACGCTTGTCACGGACGTACTGCCAGAAATTTTGGCATTGCTCCGCGACATCTGTGAAACACAGAGTGAAAGGGGAGATATATAAGTTAGTACATCTACAGCAATAAACCAATCATTAGACTAACGCGAAATTAATTCTTACGGGTGCCAGTTTTCTGGGCAACCTTCATCTTCATGCGGACACTCAGATTGCACCGCCTCCGAAACCGTTCCGACCACCTTTGGCTGCCATTCCACTTCATGAGGGGGCAGAGTAGTTAAATGAATTCGTGCGACCACTCCTGCAGACGGCCGACGGAGACGGCGGTTCCTTTGCGGCGCCAGTCAAGTAGCCTCTCGTTCACCTTCAGTTCTATCGGGCGGTACCAAGAAGACCTCCCGCGGCCTTGCATGCGCTTCCGTGCAGAGTGAGCTTCCTTGAGGAAGTCGGCGGCTCGCTTCCACTCCGTGAGAATCTTGCGGTGGATGCCACTTTCGCGAGACAACGCGCGCACCGACACCGCCACATCCAGCCGTGCGATCCACTGCAATTTCTCTTGAGCATTATAAGCCTGACGCTTATGCTAGTTCACCTTGTGCCTGGAAAGAGTGCAGGGGGGGGGGGGGGGGGGGGGAACATCACGGTTCTCAGCAGAAGGGTGGGGTCGCTTGCGGTTAATAGGAGGATAAGACGGTATTGGTAGTTTCTCGGGGAATCCATCGCGAGACCAGTATTCGACACCGTCGTCGTCGTCGTCGCCGCCCGGGGCACCCTCTAGAAACACATCGGCCGCGGTGCCAGCCTCGGCGCCGCTGCCGCGCTAAGCGGGCCACTCTTCGTCGGCTTCTGCCACATCGTCGGCAGCGCCGACTGCAGATTCGTCCCACGTGCAATCTTCGGGCTGGTTGCCCTGGTGAGAAAAAGTCGGATTCGGAGGAGAAGGAGGCGCAGGAGGCGCAAGAGGAGCAGGAGAAGCAGGCGGTGCAGGTGGCGCATAAGGCTGAGGTGGCTCTGGTGGTTCTGGTGGGATACGGGAATACCACCCGTCAGCGACAATTCTATACGCGTGCCTACTGGTAGGCTTCTTTTTGAACAAAAAGTGGGTGCCGATGAATTCCGCCATGGCTTTCGCAGCCAGGCAGGCGAGAATTGGAAACTGAATGAGAAACTGAAAGAATGGGTGAAGAAATGAAAGATTGGAGGGGACCCCTTCGTGTTAGCGGCTCGGGGTCCTCGTCAATGAGAGACGGGTACTCCCCTGCCTGAACCCGCAGAGCATGGTTCATGGTACCATACATGCTGCGCTGGCAGGGCATATTCCACCCCCTTCTAGAGGGTTCGGATGAAATGCTCCTGCCTGGCAGCGCATAACAACCTGATTGGCCCGCACGGCAGGTTTTGTGCCGCCGTTGGCAGGTCGTTGCTCTGGGACGGGTTTTGTGCGGTGGGAACCGGGCCCTAGATTTCAGCCTTTTTACGCTGATTCTGCATTTTTTCTATACCAAGGCTGATTTGTCAGCCTTTTCCCCAAGAAACTTAGTGATTTTCTAGTGGTTATTAGTGAAAAATGCCATTTTTGGCTGATTTTCAGCGTACATTTGCTAGTGAACTCTAATGTTTCAGCATATCCCAAAACCAATCTAGGGGCCTGGGTGGGAAATCGCGGCAGGTTTCGCCGAGATTCCATGCATGATCCCACGTGAACGTCACAGGTGTGTTCGTCTTATTGAGGGCTTCAGTTTGGTACATTTGAAAACAAATTTCATTTTTGACATTATACAGGCGCCGGCACTTATGGCCGATACTCAGCCAAATTTATTGTAAGCGCATATGCGCTACTATCTCGGGCCAAACGGTACAACGAAACTGAACTAGTCATTGTACAGAGACGCGGATATGTACACTTCTGAAGCTGGGATGAGAGAAGCAGTTGCTTTGGAGGTGTTGTAGTGGAAGCCTTGAGTTATCATATGTAGTAGGTGTTTACAAAATGCTTGTCTCTCGAAAATGTGTAAACGGAGATGATTGTATCTGCTCAATTGTGCCAAACTGGTGGAGGGAGATGATTGTACATTTCACCGCGTTTTTTCTTCTGAAGAGCCTCCTGCCAGAAAGGGCTGCCGACAAGCGCCTTGTGATTGATTCGAGGGCTGAAGCGACGCGGTCAGCTGCGCTTCGGCTATTTGACAGTAGCCGAGCAGGTATTATTGGTTCTTCTTGGCCATCAACACACCACCCCACACCATCAAGAACCCCGAAAAAATGCACTTTCCATGTACTGTATGGCGAAGTTTTCACATCGAAATCTGTAGAAAATATCACAGTCATTACAGGGTATCGGGCAATTTTTTTAATCGCGACCTGCTTTTGTCCCCAAGCTCGTATGAACAGTGTGGGACAATCTCCTCTTCGGAAACGAATGCCTCCAAACAACCCTTCAGTTCGGGTAAACCAGGAAACATTACCCATGGGTGTAAAATTGGTGGTACAGTATTGAAGTTGGCGAGGGCTCGGTGAACCACCACACCACACTCGATTTCTGTCGCTTTCTCACCACCCCCATGGTGCAGTAATGTGAAGCGCCGCTGTTTCGATTGGTCAACACCGCACAGCACCTGCACCTACCCTTCCAGAACGAAAGTTTCCCTGTTGTTACACTCCTGCGGGCCATCCAGCCAGCCAGCTATTGGAGCAAGTTCCAGAGACATATTTAGCTCTGCTGCCGTAGTCCCGACGCACAGCACGTTGATCAGGTCATACCTTCCCATCCTGGAGAAGAATACCACAGAAGCGCGCCATCCAGCCAGCATGAGGTGAAGGCAGTCTGTAAACAGCCGTGAGCCGTAAGCGACCAAGCCTTTTCTTTAAATCAGGGTTGCTTGCAGACCGAATCCCTGTCTGTGGGATGGTATGCGAGCCTCGCCGTCACTCAAGTCCAACCGTCATCTTTTTCGAAGAGGGCGTGCACGTTTTTAGAGACATAGCTTGACGGAAGCCCGGTATTCGGTAGGGTAGGGTAGTCCACTTCGAAATATTCCCGCAGTTGTCCCGCCGTGTCTCGTCGCGTCTACCTCGCACAACGTCCTTCGACGGCCCGCCGAACACTCCAGCGCTTAACGGACGCATACCACTACTACCGGTGAACCGTTCAACCTCAGTAAATCGCGGACGTAGGGATTATGGGTCGTCGAGACGCAGCGAATCGGCGCTACGGCAGCAGCCACGCACGTAAACCGCAAGACGCGCGGATGTCTAGTAGAAGTACAAGCGGCTGTTGTGGCGCCCTGGCGCTGCTACTCGTGGTGCTCGTGTTAGGTCAGGGCGTTCAAGGCGCCGTCGCGGCGGTGGACTACGGCGACGCGATGGCGAAGGCGATTCTGTTCTTCGAGGCGCAGCGGTCGGGGCAGCTCACGGGCGCGGCTATTCCCACCACCATCTCGTGGCGCGGCAATTCCGGTCTTTCCGACGGCACCGCGCAAGGGGTAACTATCGACCTGCGCGGCTTGTGTAGCTACAGGGAAAAAAGAGCCGTTCCCCACACCCATCTCACTCACTCGCATGCACCGCCGACCTTTCCCTCATCTTGGCGGCGCGTGTCTTTCGCTCCTCCAAGCTGGACCAGGACCCTCCCGCTCCCTAACTCCCCGAACCCACCCCCGCTCCCCCCACCCCCTTCCCCGCCCCCGTCCCTTCCCCGCCCAACCCGCTCCCCCCTCGTCCTGTCCCCGCCCCCCGTGCGCGCAGGTGGATCTGCGCGGGGGGTACTACGAGGGCGGCAGCAACGTGAAGGCGGGGCTGCCGGGGGCGTTCGCCGCCACCATGCTCGCGTGGAGCCTCGTTGACTTTGGCCGCCACATCCTCGCTGCGGGCGGCACCGCGCAGCTCTCCGGCGCGCGCGACGCGCTGCGGTGGGCGACGGACTACCTCATCAAGGCGCACACCAAACCCGAGGAGCTCTGGGCGCAGGTGGGCAGCTCTGAGCGCAGGTGGGCAGCTCTGGGCGCAGGTGGGCAGCTCTGGGCGCAGGTGGGCAGCTCTGGGCGCAGGTGGGCAGCTCTGGGCGCAGGTGGGCAGCTCTGGGCGCAGGTGGGCAGCTCTGGGCGCAGGTGAAGGGGGAAGAGGGGGGTGTGGTGTGGCCGCAGGTGGTTGGGGGGGGGACAGGGTGGGGTGTGGGCGCAGGTGGGCGGAGAAAGGGAGAAAGGGAGGGGTGCGTTCGGAGAAGAGGGGGATGCGGGGGGAGAAAGGGAGGGGTGTAGGGCCAAGTGGGGTGGCAAGGTCAGGCGACCGCTCTTGCCTGCACCGTCTGGATTCTTCTTTCATGCATCTCGGGGGATGAACCACTTGGTGAAGCCGCTTGTAAGCTCTAACCTTGTACTTCGTCCACGCGTGCCCACTGGTTTGTCTGGGTGCGGTGCGTGCACGTGGGTTGTGACAGGTGGGCGACGTGGTGACGGACGGGGCGTGCTGGCAGCGGCCGGAGGACATGAGCACATCGCGCACGGCGTACCGCATCAATGCCACCCGCCCCGGATCCGACCTCGCCGCTGAATCCGCCGCCGCCCTCGCCGCCGCCTCCCTCGCCTTCCGAGACGCCAACGCCTCGTACGCCGCCTCCTGCCTCGCCCACGCGCAGCAGGTCTGTCAGGGGGGCTGGGTGTTTTATGGCCGCTATGGCTTGTGATGCGGTAGAGGCGGCGATTCAAAGGCGTGTTGAATGTAGATCGCCAGCTGACGTCCGGACATGTCTCGGCTTGGGACTGGGTTACCAGACTGCGCAACGTACAGGAGATTGGTTTCGCCCTTATGTTTGTCAGAGTGGTGTGGGGCAGGACTGCCAAAGAGTAGCCCCATTTGGATATGGTGTCCGTGATGCTGCGTCCTTCCTTGTGCACTCATAGTCTTCCTCCACCCGCCAGCTGCCTGCAGCATTCTAGTTCCTCCTCTCCCTTCCTCTGCCATCCCACCGCATGCATCCCTACTCTCCTCCAGCCTCTCGTCCCCCTCAACTCTACTCTCCCCCCATTCTCCAAACCAGCTGTTTGTGTTTGCTGACAAGTACCGCGGCGTGTACAGCACGGTCGTCCCTGGGGCGGCGCTCAAGTTCCCCTCCACGGGCTACACGGTGAGCTTAGTTGGAAAAAGCCCAAGTTTATAGTATTGAGTTTAGTTGGGGCTACACGGTGAGCTTAGTTGGGGAGCTTGTATTGAGCCTAGTTGAGGAGCTTGTATTGAGCTTGGTTGGTTTGAGGAGCTTAGTTGGGGAGCTTGTATTGAGCTTGTATTGAGCTTGTATTGAGCTTGTATTAAACGGGCTACACGGTGAGCTTAGTTGGGGAGCTTGTATTGAGTTTATACGCATCTAGAATTTGTATGCTGCGGATTTCTCTAAAATTCGCCAATTTTGCTCACGCTGACCGAAAAAAAAAATCCATTACTTGAGCTCGCGATGTGGCGAAGTCAAATGTGAGTCTCGAAATTCAGGCCTGAGTTCGCGCATTGCAAATGCAACTTCAGATCTGAATTTCGAGATTGTTTGGTGGATCATTCCCTCCTATCCACCGCTCAACAACCCACTCCAACCCAATCCAATCTGTTGCCAACTTCTACCGGGCTCATCCTCCCCACTCAATGTCAGGCCGATTTTCCCTTCGATAATCTTTGCGTTCGATTTCTTCCTCCCTCCCCTTCTTATTTTACTTGCGACAATGACCTACTACAGCAGCAGTTAGATAGTGGACTACTACAGCAGCTCCCGTTTCCATCTCTTGGCCTAGCATCTAACCTGCCCGGGGAAATTTTTTTCCTGCCCGGCCAAGCGGATTCTTGTGCGTACCAGACCCCTCCCGGCCAGCTTTTTGCGTTTAGACGCTAGCGTTTATACGAAAGCGTACTAAACGCGAAACGTTTTTTTCCAACTTAGACGGTGAGCAATGCACAGCATGCAGTGCGCAGAATGCAGCGCACAAAATGCAGCACGCAGCATGCAGAACGCGACATGCAGTGCACAGCATGCATCATAGTCTACACTACAGGTTAGCATCATATGAACTAGACACCCTTAAACAAACCACAACAATATGGACTATGGACAACCACACCAATGGCTGAGAGGCAGCTAGCCGTTCTTATTGATACCATGGTTGAAGCTGCTGTTGCTTGCACGCCCCTGTCGATCCTTACCTTCAGAATTACACTTCGAATGACTAATGTTCCTGCTCAACAACTTTATGTAGTGCACCGTTTCTGTGTGGCTGCAGTTGTTGAGCGGGAACATAAGTCATTCGAAGTGTGATTCTGAAGGTAAGGAACGATAGGGACGTGCAAGCAGCAGCAGCTTCAACCATGGTATCAAGAAAAAACGGCTAGCTGGTTTTCAGCCATTTAAAGTGGATGCTAGACAACATAAAATGATAGAGGGACTAAACCCGAAACCCTGGAAGATGCAGGAACTAGCAGAAGAGCTTGGGAGAAAGATAAAATGGAAGGGATAAGAATAAGGGAGTGCTTGTGTGTAGCAGAGGTAGAGGGAGGAATTAATAGAGGTGAGGACTGATCAGTATTAAGAATTGATTCATGGAGTAAGGAAGTGAGAGCAAAGGGGTCACAGAGTTAGGTGTTGGCACACAGCTTCCCAGTAGATCCTTGTTAGCATTCTGCCATTGGTGAACCTACCAACAGCAGTTGCCTTCCAGCCTCACTGTTTCCTTGCTTCCCAACGGTGACATTTCCCAAATAATTTCTTTCCTCGCACCACCCTACCTGCCCCCTCCCATGCGTGGAATGCAGGACGAGTTGGCGTGGGCGGCGGCATGGCTGTACAGGGCGACGGGGCTGAGGCGGTATTTGGAGTATGTGCAGCGCAATGAGGCGGCCATTGGGGGGACGCAGCAGATGCACACGGAGATGAGTTGGGACCAGACGCTGCCCGGCGCGCAACTGCTGCTCGCACAGGTCAGTGCTGCTCGCCATGGGGAGGGATGGTGCTGGTGGGGTTAGAAGCAGTTGTGCTTCATTGAACCCGCACCTTGTGCCTCCACGCCGCATTAACCTCCGTCTGCACAGCACCACCTCTCCAACTCACGCCCAACCCCTCTCCCTCCTTCCCCCCCGCTCCTCTCTTCCCCCCCGGGCACCAGGCGCTGTGGGCGGGGCTGCCGGCGAGCATCCAGGGGAGTGCAGCGATAATGGGGGTGGTGGAGGGGTATGCAGGCATGGCCGAGGTGTATGCGTGTGCGCACATGCCTGCCAACCCCCTGCGAGCCGTCTACACCACGCCGGCCGGGCTGCTGTATGTGCGCGGCAGCAACGCCCAGCTCGCCCTCTCCTCCGCCTTCCTCCTCGCTCTGCTCGCCGACTTCCTCGCTGCCGCCGCCCGCTCCCTCGACTGCCAAGGCGTCTCCTTCTCGCCCTCCCAGATCACCGCCTTCGCCCAGTCCCAGGTCAGTCCGCCACCATGCCTGCATGCACGCATGCACACGGACCGCATAAGCACAAACCGCATGCGCCCTGCAGAACCCCTGCATACGCATTCGCCTTGCAGTGCACTGGCATGGCGATCGGGTACCTGCTGAACACGCATGACCACCATTCTTCATGCCTCGCATGCTGCCTCCCTCGCTTCGAACCTCCCCCTCCCCCTCCCCCTCTCCTCTCCGCCAGGCAGACTACCTGCTGGGCAGCACACGAATGACCCACCATTCCCCATGCCTCTTTCGCTGCCTCCTCTGTTTCCCCCTCCCATCTGCCAGGTGGACTATCTGCTGGGCAGCAATCCGCTCGCCGTCTCCTTCATGGTCGGCTTTGGCACCGCCTTCCCCCAGAAGGTGCACCACCGGGCGGCGTCCATTGTCTCATTCAACACGGACCCGTCGCCAGTGACCTGCCAGGGCGGCAACACCACGTACCTGCAGAGCGCCTCCCCCAACCCCAACGTGCTCGTTGGCGCCATTGTTGGCGGCCCCAACGCCGTGAGTCGGGCTCGGGGGGGAGAGGGAGGGGAGGGCAACGCCGTGAGTCGTCGTGGTGTGGAGTGGGCCTTCATTGCTTCTTGCTTTCTGCCTGTTTTTGTGGAGGCAACCCTGTGAGTCGTGCTTGGGGAGGAAGGCCAACGCATGAGGGGATGCATAGAGAACTTTTGACTGTGCATGCAGTTATGAGCATGTGCATACCTGTGTGGAAGCATGTCCGTGCACAAATGCTTCTCTATCTTCTGCTAGCCTGTTTCTCATCCCTCTGGCTGGTGCCCCTGCCCTGCCCTGTGGCCAGACCGTCGGCTTTCTGGATGCAAGGCTGCACTTCCCTTTCCCATCCGCTCCTTGCAACTCCCCGCCCCCCTTCCACTTCCCCTCCCTGCCCGCCCGTCAGACCGATGGCTTTCTGGACTCACGGCTGCACCCAGCCTTCACGGAGCCCTCAGCCGCAGCCAATGCCGTCGCTGTCGGCCTCCTCGCCCGCCTCGCCGCCGGCGCCCTCCCCCTCGCCTCCCCGTCCCCCCCCTCCCCCCCCGCTCCCCGCTCCCCTCCTCCACCCAAGGGCAAGCGCCCCCCGCCACCCAAGTCCACGATCCCCAGGGCACCGCCTGCTCCTGTGTCTGGTGAGATGCTCGCGGTAGCTGGCAGCCGGTGGCCTGCTCATACTGCTTGTCTGCTGCTGCTGTTGATAAGCTTTGTGGTATGGGAGGCACCTTGATTTGCGCACTGGCTGCGCTCTTAACAAACCCTCCATTGTATTTTCTCCTCTTATCCCTGTTTATGTGTGTACTTATGTGTGTTCATGTGTGTGTGCATGCGTGCGTGTGTGCGTTCGTGCACGTGCGCATGCGATTGTGCATGCATATGGGTGTGTGCGTGTGTGTGCGCTGAGCAGCACCACTGAGCCTGGTGAACGTGACGTGTGCAGTGACGGGCAGCTGGCAGCAGTACGGGGAGCAACAGAACATGTGGAGCTGCGACGTGTGCAACACCAACGCCTCCTTTGCTGTGCGCGACGTCGCCCTTGCGTGCTTCAACTTCGAGCCCTTCAATGCGTGGAATTTTGAGGTGGGCAGCACAAAGTGGAAGGCTGGAGCGAGGAGAGAGAGCCAGAGGGGCGGGAGCGGGGTCAGTGGGCGAGTGGGGTAGGTCTGAGGATGGAGCAGGGGATGGTGAAGGGGTTGGGGCAGGGGCTGGGGCAGGGAATGGGGCTAGAATGACCTTACAAGTCGAAGCCTTCCACAGCAATGTCCTTTGGTTGACATGATTCTTGTGCTGCCCTGTGGTTGCAGGTTGTTTCATGCTCTCTGCCCTCGTGGGCGCAGTACATTCCTGGAGGTGGCAAGCGCAACTTTGGGTTCATCCAATCAGCCCGACTAAAACCATCGTTCAAAGCCACCTGGGTCACCTGGCTCGGCCCGCCTCTTCCTCCTCCCAGGAGACCAAGATCAGCATCGTGCATCCCCCCATCTACATTCTGGGGAAAGCTACAATGCCAGGTTCTAAGCATGGGTTGTTGCATGCAAGTGAGCGCGCCACCAGCACCATCAGCAACATGAGTGGCAATGGTGGAAGTTTGGATTCGTTTTGTTGGCGGGTGGAAAGTCAGCTTGTAGTGGATGTGCTGGTTGGGATGTGGATGTGCTCGTAATTGTTATATGGTTCTTGTAAATTACGTACGCAGCAGTCACTACAGAAGTCTGGTCTTGTGCATGCTACCCAACCGGGCAGCGCACATGTTTTGCCTGGGGTGGGGCATGTGTGCAACTGCCAGCTGTGCCTATACGTCTGCGATCACATGGCAGTGATGGGAGGTACACCTGTGATGGTGTTCAAAATATGAAAGTGAGGGCGAACTGCCGTATAGTTCCGGATATAAGCGCAAGTGCGGTTATGACAAAACAGGGTGCGCTTGTACCGTAATTGAGTAATACGTTTAAGCGCATGCGCCGTAAATGTTGAAAATAAAATTTGGTTTTTAAACATGAGATTTCTTAACAGAGTATTCACTTTCTAAAAAATTGTATCGTGATAGTGAAACGATTTCCAACGCAGCGAAGGCAGCGTTTGCATCGCTACTCGCCCTCTTTTGGCTACAAAAGAGAGGTTGGAGGCCATTTGGCCTCACCCACGTTCTTGTCATATTTCAGTTTGAGCTCCTCTCAATCTCGTCCAATCTGGCGAAGACCCAGTCACTTCCACGTTTTACTGCTCCGACAACACTTCTCGCCGACATACTTAAAGCTGCGGTCTACATACGTCAAGGGACAGGCCCTGGTTTATCACTTGAAAACAGGGTAGCGGACTCTCCAGAAGAAACGAACGATCGAGGCGGAAGGAGGGAGCGGGGTGGGCGCATAACTTTCCGCTTGGTTGTTTGTGTTGGGCGCTGAAATTTCCGCCTTTCCGCGGATTTGTTCAATGTTCACCCAAAAAAACCCACTCGCGAAATTGTTCCGCATCGCCAACTTGGTTTGAATTCCTCGCACAGGTGTTAGGGGAGAAACCACAACTCGCCCTCAAATCATCGCGCACCAAAGGGTATGCAGTTAGATTACCCCCCAAAACCACCTTTTAAAATGTATACCGCCGCTTTAAGCAAAACATTGCTTCAATAGCGCCCGTCAACAACGCCCCTATTTGCGAAGGAAACAAGACGGCGAACACCCCAGGCGCGCAGAACTCCGGGAGTCTGCCCGGGGCAACCACGCGTCGTGCGAAACGCCCTGCCGAGGAGGCACGCGAGGACCTCGCCACGGGTGTCGAAGTCCTGTTTGGCGCGACCTCCTCGGCGACTTATGAGGAGCTTCCTGCCGCGCGTGCTGCTTCCAAGCAGCCGCACGACATGGCGAAAAAGACAGCCGCTGACGATTTTTTTTCACGACATGGCGAAAAAGCAGCCGTTCGGGTTGGCCGCAGCCTCGTTTGTCTTCACCCAACTTATCAAGCAACTCGCTTGACGATGGTGTGCACTTAGATGGCGAGTGATCCCATATGTCGATGACATTTTTGTGCTATCCGAGTCTGCCATCAAGCCCGATCGACATGCACCACGATCGTGCAGGACCTAAAAGAAGTCCCTGCTGCTCCCTGTCAAAGCATGCACTTATGGTGGTGTAGTCTATACTGGGGTACACTGTAGAGGGGACAACCATTCTAGGGTTTACTACTTGTATCCCCATCCTACTCAATGCACACATTCCAGTTTCCATATTCTAACATGGTATTAGAGTAGGTACGTTCCTTAGGGCCCACCGAACGTTCCGCCCTGCCCGGACTTGAAACCTTTTTTTCCTGCCCTGCTGCCTAGCGCCAGCGCGCGCCTTACTGCCCTGCCAGCTCGCGCCCAGCTGCCCTGCTACTGAACGCCCTGCTGCCCTGCCTGATCACCGCCCTGTCCGCGCGCGCTCTGTCTGCAGCTGCGCCACCCTGCCTGCCCGCGCGCTCTGCACGCGCACCCTGCTGCCCACAGCGCCAGCGCGCCCTGCTGCCCAACACGCTAGCGCGCCCCGCTGCCCAGCGCGCCAACGCGCCCCCTGCCCAGCGCGCCACGCTGCCCAACGCGCCAGCGCGCCCCGCTGCCCAGCGCGCCAGCGCGCCCCGCTGCCCGACGCGCCAGCGTGCCCCGCTGGCCAGCGCGCCAGCGCGCCCCGTTGCCCAACGCGCCCCGCTGCCCATGTCAGAATGCTGTATTTGTCTAGCCTGCAGTGGGGTACTCTATAGTGAGTACAACCCAATTTAGGGTTTCCTATATGTACTCAACTGCTTGCTAGTGGAATCCCCCCTTTTCTGCTTCTAAACTTTTGCCTAACTTTTCGACATGCTATCAGAGCAGGTCGACCCTCCTGGGTCGATCCTGTGGGTGGGCCCCACCCGATGCTTCCGCTGCTCTACTGCCTGTAACGCGCCCCGGGCGCGTGCTGTTTCTTGTCAAACTTATATGCTATAGTCTGTGTAGGCTATAGTGGGGTGGATAATATGGGGTACAACACTTTTAGGTCCTCCTACTTGTACCCACCTGTTTCCTAGTGCATTCACTTCCTCGTTCTTTAACATGGTATAGAGTAGGTTCCCTAGTGGGAACGTTTCCTAGGGCCCACCGAAAATCGAAATTTTTTTTCCTGCCCGGAGCGCGCTTCGCCCCTGCCCGAGTCGCGCCCCGTGTGCCTGCCCTCCAGTCGCGTCCCCTGCCCTTAGCGGCCCGTCGCGCCCTCTCACGCCCCCCCCCACGGCCCCTCTCACGGCCCTTCGCGCCGCGTCAGGCCCCTCGCGGCCCTTTCGTAGCCCCTCGCGGCCCCTTCGCGGCCCAGTAGCCGCCCTTCTCGGCCCCGTCGCCGCCCTTCGCGGCCCCTCTCACGGCCCCTCGCGGCCCCTTCGCCGCTCCCTCGCGGCCCCTTGCGGCCCCTCGCCGCCCTTCGCGGCCCCTCTCACGGCCCCTCGCGGCCCCTTCGCCGCTCCCTCGCGGCCCCTTGCGGCCCCTCGCGGCCCCTTCGAGGCCCCTCTCACGGCCCCTCGCGGCCCCTTCGTGGCCCCTCGCGGCCCCCTTCGCGGCCCCGTCGCCGCTCCCTCGCGGCCCCTCCGCGGCCCTTCGTGGCCCCTCTCACGGCCCCTCGCGGCCCCTTCGCCGCTCCCTCGCGGCCCCGACAACAGCAATCGCCGCCGCCGCTGCCCTGTCAGCCGCCGCCGCCCCTGCCCCGGCCGCAGCAGCCGCCACCGCCGTCAGCGGCCGCCGCCGCCGCCGACAGCAGCGGCCGCCGCCGCCGCCGACAGCAGCGGCCGCCGCCGCCGCCGACAGCAGCGGCCGCCGCCGCCGCCGACAGCAGCGGCCGCCGCCGCCGCCGACAGCAGCGGCCGCCGCCGCCGCCGACAGCAGCGGCCGCCGCCGCCGCCGACAGCAGCGGCCGCCGCCGCCGCCGACAGCAGCGGCCGCCGCCGCCGCCGACAGCAGCGGCCGCCGCCGCCGCCGACAGCAGCGGCCGCCGCCGCCGCCGACAGCAGCGGCCGCCGCCGCCGCCGACAGCAGCGGCCGCCGCCGCCGCCGACAGCAGCGGCCGCCGCCGCCGCTGCCGTGTCAGCCGCCGCCGCACCTGCCCCGGCCGCAGCAGCCGCCGCCGCCGACAGCAGCAGCCGCCGCCGCCGCCGCCGACAACAGCAGCCGCCGCCGCCGCTGCCGTGTCAGCCGCCGCTGCCCCTACCCGCCGCGGCTCCCTGGCCCCTGGAGCAGCCGCCCCTGGCCCCTGGAGCAGCAGCCCCAGCAGCAGCCTCGGAGCCCTCGCCCTGCGGTGGTAGCGGCCTCGCCATTGCCGCTGTCGTACACCTGCCCTTCTTGCCACTGGTGAGCACTGCTGCCCTTGCTGCTACTGCTCTTTCTACTGCTACTGCTGCTCCTGGCGTGGCCAGATGCAGCTCCAGCGCCGTCCGCGTGAGTCCCTCACGCCCCAGCAGCTTCGTGAGTGGTACACTACTTGGGGTTGTCGGGGTGACCGTAGTGGGAGTCGTCCTGGAGTGAGTAGTTTGGGAGCTGCTTGTAGTGGCCAGGTGCAGCTGCAGCATCGTCCGCATGCGGTCCTTTTGCCCCAGCAGCTTCGTGAGTGGTACGCTCAGAGTGGAGGGTCACGGAGTACTGCTCGCTGTCCGTACGTCATTCGCACTGGTGCTCGGACTGGTCAGCCTTGCGGGACTGTTGGTCACACAGAGTCCCGTTGCTTCGCCCGTCTGAGCGACGCCTGGCGTACGGAGTTTGGCGACGCGGCAAAGCTGCACGACTGGGTGCAGCTGCTTAGGCAGAGGGTAGATATCTATACTCTTGACTATGATGCTATCCTCACTGCCATGTATGCATTGCCTACTAGTGATGAGGGTGACTGTTACCTGTGTGTTCCGCCTGACCCGGGCATTGAGGCTGCTGCTCTAGGTGCTGGTGAGGCAGCTGCTCTAGGAGCCAGTGCGTCTGCTACTCCAGGTGCTGGTGAGTCTACTGCTCCAGGTGCTGGTGAGTCTGCTGCTCCAGGTGCTGCTGAGTCTGCTGCTCCAGGTACTGGTGAGTCTGCTGCCCCTGGTGCTCGTGAGTCTCCTCTCTCAGGCACCACGTCGGCTCAGGTGTTGCACACCTTCACCCTTGACTCGGGTGCTTCCCGCTCCTTCTTTCGAGACCGCACCACACTCACGCCGCTTAGTCGGCCGGTTGCAGTCTCCCTGGCGGACCCCTCTGGGGGTCCTGTCCTTGCCCACTTCTCCACTGTCTTACCGTGTCCGGCGGCCCCTTCTGGCACCCTGTCAGGTCTCTACCTATCCTCGTTCTCTACAAACTTGGTGAGTGGTGCTGACCTACAGGATAGAGGGGTTGACCAGTTCACTCCTGCGAGTCAGCGAGTGACCCACTGTACCTGTGCTCGGACGGGCCGACACTTGGCCACGTTTACCCGTCAGCCGGAGTCGAGCCTGTACACACTGACTACTGGGTCTCCTCCGGTTGCTGCGTCTGGTCAGGTAGCTGTGTCGGGTCAGGTGTTTGCTGCAGCGTCCAGGTCTGGTCCTGAGTCTGCCCCCTGTTCGTGTC